GGTGCCCTCTGAGTAATTGAACTTCTTTGCTTAATCCTAAATTCTCCCAATCACTCAGTATCCTTCTTCTTAGTTGATCTTGATACTGGTCCGAACGTATTACACTAGTAGACCAATCATTATCACTAGTATATCCTATACAGTAACAAAATAGTGGAGAATAAGAAATACACAAATTAATTACAGTTATAGTTACTATGGTAACCTTATCTCTGTCAGTTTACACAGTTAACCACATGAACATATTATTGTATATAAATACACTGATATTTCATTCACTCTAGCTCCTATTAATATCAGTGTTTCTGTATCTGCAGTCATTATATTTCACTATTGTACATTGCAGGAATGAATTGGTAATAATTAGTATCATAGGTATACGTCAAATGCTCTCATTAAATATTCATCATAAGAATTACTTACTTTATTGTAATATTATCATTACTAATTATCATTACATATTCAATACACATTGTATCTACTACTGTCTACATGTACTTACTCAGTTCAATAACTGCTGTATCAGTTAAATCAACTCTCAACCCTCCAAACTCAATTATCCAGTGCATAGTTGGGGTCATACTCCACACTGAGAGAGAATGCCAGTATCTCCTAGTGACATTGACTGGTAGATTAATCTATAAAATTAAAATGATAATAATTTATTTGTGTATGACACATTAATTGATTTGATATCTGGTTAATAAACACAATAACTAACTCACAATTTATAGTCTGCACAGTGTGTTTTATGCAACACAAAGATGACATGATAAAATTAATAATACACAATATATTAATAACAAGTATACACAACTGAGTCTGTTATTATATCATGTGAAACCTCAATTAAGAACTTACTAAGTGTCTGCATGTACACACATACACATACACATACTAATGACACACTAACACACATACATCTACATCTATACATGCGTACACATATAAAGCTACATGTAAAGCCATGCATAATTGCTCACACACATACACACACATGTACATGTTACATGTACACATGATGTACGTGCTAGTACACACATACACATATTAAAACATATGCACACATACACACAAATACATGTATGTACATACACAATGTACACAAGGTATAAAAAATACAAATTATTTTAATTCCAGCATAGACACTCTATCAATTGTGAATCCATCTTTACACACACACACATGTATATTCACACATATTTAGGTAAAGAAACAAACACAAAACACAAAAACACACATTCACACTAAAAACAGACACTCACACACATACTGAATACCAGCATTATTCATCAGTAGTTTTCACTGAGTATCATAATATGTACATGTACATTACAAACCTCATGAATTACAAATTTAGTTAATCACTTTATGTTTCATTATCAAGCATCATAATGTAATACTTACCAGTTCTTTCCATTTTCTTTTGTTAATGTCCAGTAACCATACATCATAGGCAGGTGATCCACCCACCACTAGTAAGTGTGGCCCTGAACTAGTGGTAATCAGTACACTGGAATGACCATATCTTCCCTTAGGCCATTGTACTGATCCTCCAGGATTAAGTACTTCTAATATATCCTGAGAGAATAATAAAATCAATGTAATAAAATTAAAATAACAAAATATAATAAATATATCCTGAAATAAATGTTATAAAATATTTCATTTAAAATTAATTGAAGGAGCACAATTATTTCAATTGCAATTTAATCGGAAACCCAGAATGTACAATCAATAAATCTCACAATCAAAACCCATCCTACAGTATTAACTCACCACTGATGTCTTAGTGAAACTTATCATATACAGTTTATTACTGTATCCATTATCAGTCTCACCTCCAAAAATTACCGCAGTG